GGTGTACACCTTCCGAAGGCACGGCTGAGCAAGCATGAGTGTTTTGGTGCTGCGAGGATGCATCAAGATCTCTACCACCGTTTCGCAGTCTAAAGAGTCTCGATCTGAGAGAATCTAGGCAGAGAAACGACTATCAGACCTCAAGTATTTAATGGGACTGTTCGAACAGCAAGCAGCATCGCTCAATATCGACACACGAGCACTTACCGCCGAAGTAGCCGTACTTGCTTTTAGCCAGTGCAAAAGCGTCTTAGCGGAACCTGGCGTGACGCCAAACGCGCGCAAGCGGCAAGGTAGTCAGTTGGTATGGTAAACGGTGACATCTATTATGCGGAAGAGATTGAGAGAAGTCAGCAGCAATAGAAGCGTTAGCAAAAGCTCTATTACCGTAAAGGGTCCTTAACATGCGTGCGATTGCAGATGCCGACTGTAGAGTTTGTCGTGTAATCACTTCAATATCTTATACGTACCCCTGTCCGGTAAAACCTGATAAGTGCCCAGTTAATTCCCTTTACAGTGAAACTTGTTCTGTCTACATTTAGTCGGTAGAGAAGTGGATACGCATGCGTTCGCCTTTATCAAAAAACATTAACAGCAATATGTTTTAGTTTAGAAACTACATCTCTCATTATCCGGATATGCATCCGGATATTCAGTGCTTTGTTTGGGTACTGCAAAATGGCAACGACGGTTAAGAAGTGCCTCAAGCTGCACAAGCTCTTCGTAAACGAGGTTCGCCAGCTCCTCCTGACGCGTGATTCCATAAATCTACAGCTCTAATTCCTTCTCTCTAACACAAGCTTCGTTTTGTCTGTTGTACCGCTACTCGGTCGTCATTTGGTCCTCAAACGACTGGTGCAGCTGGCGCGCAGTACCCGTCTCGAGTCGGAAGGTTCTCAGGTGTTGTCCTCGCTTTCCAATGTCAGTCAGCGAGTCCCAACCTTGTTGCAGTCTAGTAGTGCGAGATCCGACGCGAATAGTGACGCCGAGGGCAATGTGGAGGTGATGGGAGTGTTAAGCTACTCCTGCAACACTCAGGAATTGCTACTTCAGAAGCACTTTTTGGCCATGGAAAAGAGCCGCGGGTTCTTGGCGGATATTCTTCGGGACTACCAAGAGTTGCTTCGTCATATTCGGTCTTTTACGTGCGAGTGTGTGACACTTGTTGATGACGCATTCATCGAAGGGGACGACTCTTTAAGTGTCGAGGACGAAATGGCAATTTTGACTTTCCCCTTGCAGCTGCAAGAGTGGATGGAGACGGTGCTGGCAATGCTTGAACATGAAGTGCTGCGGAAAACGAGGCTCGTGGCGGACCTGGAGTACAATGACACGGGGAGATTGAGTCGTGTGGCCAAGCAGTGGAGCTCCCAGGGAGCCATGGGCAACGTCGACAACGACTTCGGTGCGTCTTATTTTGACGGAGTTTTGCTCCACACGTAGGCTAATCTGTGATATATCTGTAGTGCAAACAGGTCTGCAGTTGCCACAAGCCAAGGCGTTACCGTCTGTCGAGGACGCTTCGCATAGCAAAAGCAAAAAGAAGAAGAAAAGCAAAGCCAAGAAATGAAAAACCCGGCCATCGTCCTCTAATTTGCCTACATTTGTTTCCCCAATTGCGCCACACTGCCACGAATTCTCATACAAATGGGATGCCACTAAAAGTGCGCACCTTGTACGCCGGATACTCGTCCGGGAAAAAGCCAAGCAGCAACTGCTCCTCATATCTACAGCACGGAGGGCAAAACCTCAATAAGTACCGCAGATTATATCTGGTAAGTCACCGACAACGTACGGGATGCGGTCGTGGAAGAAGCTCCAGGCTACGAGCGAGTAGCCGACCGCGCACACAGGATTGGCCAGCAGGATCTGGCTGCCCACGATCCACCAGAACCAGCCCAGGTAGCTCGGGTGGCGAATGAAACGATAGACTCCGTGCGTGACCAGTTCGTGCTCCTTCCTCTTAAAGTATTCGATTCGATGTGAAAAGTTATTGGCAGCAGTGCTCATGGCCGACACGCGAAAGAACTGGCCCAAAACGACCAGTGCGATGCCCACAGGACGCACAAATGTGTGCAACTTCCAGCCTGGCACGAAATAAAGTTCCAGGAAGAACTCCAAGCAGCTAAAGAGCACTGCCAGATGATACTCTCGACTGTGGTTGAGCAGGAAAGCTACAGCAGCAACAAAAGAGCACGTAAACATTCCATATTAGCCACAAGTTTGCCATTGTTGCCGGCAAGTGTTGCCGTTGATTAGGTGTCGACAGATATTGCCACAAAGCCACGGCAAAAACATACACTCATAGCTGACATTTGCTGGGCGGTAGGCGGCTGTGAGTATAAATTCCATCAGATGGAAAAAAGCCCAGTGCCAACGCGTACAAACTCCATTGCTCCAGGCACTGCCAGCGCAATATTGACGTTGCGTCTTGGGACGAGTCAGCCAGCGCTACGAGCTCCGTGTAGAGTAACAGACACGCGTGTACGGTCATAAACACGCCCAATCCGAAAGCCGCCAACGCCACTTTGCCCAGCCCGCGGTCGGAGCGGAACGCCTCGGAGCGGAACATGGTGGCGACGCCACGCAAGTAATTGAAAGTTGGTGAGTTGGGGAGATGTCAATTGTTAATATTGAATCCTGCAAAAATTGGTGTTTGTAATCAAATTTGCTTTTGAAAGGTGAGCTTCGAAGATTGGCCAAAATCTAAGGCCAATCAGAGAGTCGTAAATAAACAACTTCAACATGATGTTTTGCTAATAGAAAGCTGTTGCAGCACCATGATGGAAAATATAAGCATGTGTTTACTTTTATGTTGTTAGGAGAAGCGCAATCGGAGGACTTCAAAGTCGACTCGACAAACGAGAATGGAGTTGGCACGGCTGGAGAAAGAAAGAATGACAACGCGTGAAGTGAAGGATTGCCGTGCGAGAGCATGAAAATTAGGTCGCGGCCTAGAAGACGACAGCCGACGTGACGCCACTCTTGGTGACGGTCGATCCCTTGCCGCTCTTAAGCCAACAGGTGCCGGTGTTGTGGTTGCTCCACGTGAAGGCGCGGCAGCCGGTCCTCGCGCGGCACTTATCGCAGCAGTCTGCCGGCTTACTTTCCGGAACGTTGTCGATGTCGTTGCCCACGTAATCCTTGTTCGCCTCAAGCTCGCATGGTAGCGGGTTGTCCAACATTTGACTCGACACGACGCCCACCTTGTACTGCGTCTGTCCTTTGGCACTCTTGAGCCAGCACGTACCACCGTTGGCGTTGCTCCACGAGAACGAGCGACAGCCGTTCCAGTTGTGGCAAATGCTGCAGCAATCGCTGTAGGCTTTGCCTGGAGCGTTGCCGATGTCGTAGTTGATATAGTCGAGATCATACTGGAACGCCTTACATTCACTTACCGTGGTCTGGACCTCAGCCGACTTTGCGCCAGCCTTTGGGACCTCCGAGCCCTTCTTGCTCTTGAGCCAGCAAGTGCCACTATTTTGGTTGGTCCAGGTGAAGGCTTTGCAGCCTGGCCACGATGAGCAGATTGAGCAGCATGCACCAGCGTTATTGCTCTGTACGTTGGCGATGTCGTTGCCTTGATAGTCGTAGCCGTCCTTGAGCGTGCATGGGGCTGAGTCCTCCACAAGAACCGCTGATGTAGCCGCTGCGTTAGCAGCAGTGTTGCCTTTGGCACTCTTGAGCCAGCAGGTTCCACCCTGATGGTCAGTCCACGTGAAGGCACCGCAGCCGGATGTTTGCGAGCACAACGTGCAGCAGTCCGTCACCTTCACGCTCGAGACGTACTTGATATCGTTGCCGAGGTAGTCGACACCGGAAGTTAGCGGGCACGAAGCCAGGCGACGATGCGCCGGCTGCGGTAGAAATGGGTTCTCGACCAGCGAACGCAGACTGAGAGCGTCAACTCGAAGCAAACAAAGGGCCGAGAGAAGCACGAGAACTCGGAAGCGCGTCATGCTCGATAGGAGAGGGTAGTCAGCTGACTGGGAGGGGTAGCTGGATGCTTGGAGTTGTTGTTTGAGGAGGTGGTTCCGCACTAGACGGTGAGTTTTGAAATGAACTCGTGAGGTCCCCAAGTCGGAAGTGTTGGGATAGCACTACTCAAACAATCTCGAGCATGAGTATGTCTTACAAGAAAGTCACGCTGGAGGACGCCCAGTATCCAGCTTACTGAAAAGCCGACGCTAGTCACTCGTAGCGAGCACCTGCCCTGTACCCATTTAATCAAGTGCAGTCCAGTATTTAAAGATCGAAGTGGCGCTGATACCGTTCAACGCACCCAAAGCGTTGGAATCGACAAGTACGTGTATGATGACTCCACTGCTAGACGGGAGCATTGAGAGTCGAAGTCTAGCGAGAAGACCAGCTTCTCGCTTTGCTTATTACCGGAATTCCTGTAGCCAAGCGCAACACCAAGGTGTCGTACTGTACGTAATACAGCAGCAAGAGTCTTGCTGAGTGCCAAGACCACACATTGGAGATAGGGAAAGGTCAGTGCATTTTATTTTTCTGCCCGTGCATGTACATGTACTGGTTATTTGCACCCAAAACACGTGACGAGACGTGTTTACATGTTGAAGTTGCAAGCGTTATGATCATTCGGTGCCGGTGTTTTAGACCGTTGGGTGCTTGATTTTGTGCCTCACACTGGTAGGGATTTCCACTCTTGTCGGAGGAGCTACAGCAGGGAATGCAACAGGAATGAAGGTAACTTACAAGGCAGAGGTCGGAAAAAAATATTTGCGAGTCAATAAATACTAGGCTTTGCAATTTAAGTTTTTATTGGTTGACAATACAGAATGGTATTGGACCAATTATTGGCAATAAAAATAGCAAAAGCTCACCGAGACACCAGGATCAGTCATCAGATCCGATGACATCACTTCGCTGTCCACCACACCATCTCCACACCAGCAGGAAACCGGGTAAGCTACGATACGCGAGACACAACTCAAACTTCATTTCATTTTCGAGCTACGATGGTCCTAAAAAAGCCAATCGCTGCCTGCTTCTACACATCACTCGGTTAAGGGCTGTTTCGCTGCAAGCAACAAGCGGAAACAAGCTGGAGGGACAGGGTCAAGTCGCATCTGGACGCGAAGCATGCGGGGCATCACAATACATTTTAGAGTAGTTCGGGTCGCTCACCGCAATCGTACGGCTTTGTATCCGAAGAAGCTAGTCATCTGTTCCAGTGGATTCAGTAGGTTATCATGAGGAACATGCCAATCCACGAAGTTGAAGATGCTCTAACACTAGTCACCTTTAAAACAAATTTTGACAATATGCCCACGTAGATCTTTATCGTGGGAAGCTGCAGAGACCCGTGAGTACACCGCATCATTTTGAATCTACACTTCAGTACTTACGGAAGCTGGTTCAAGCGCTTTCTCTGGTAGCTCTTCCACGAAGTTCTGTACTGGCGCTCGCGTCTTTCTCATCTTCTCCCGAATTTTTCCAGTCTTAGCTCGGCGTTTTGGTTTCTGGGCTTGCTGAGGTGGTGTTATCACGCAGGAAGTCGGATCACAGCGAGTCTAGCTTTCTTGCGATGCGCAAGAGTAGGTCGGCTATCACGACTGCCGGATTTGCCTTCAGCAATGCCCTTCTTTTGTGCTGAAGCTGAAGTGCTGCAGGTTTTACTGAGTAGCGCTAGAGAATCAACAACATAAGTGGCAACATAATTAAAGCTTGGACAACAAAATAGAAATTATGTGTAGGCCGACTTCCACAAACTTTTATCTTCCCCCATAGCGAATATTCGCCTCCAAAGCAACGCCGAATCCACCATTGTTCTCTGTCTCGGATACCACCTGCTGAGCAGCCTCGCCCTCGTCGTTGACATCGCGAGCGTCCACCGCATCGTTTGGAGTGCGATTGAATCCCTCGTACCTGCAACTCCCACTGAGCTCACCATTTTCTGCTTCTCGCCATGCGGTTCTGACAAACTGGCGGATAGTGTTTTTGTAAACCTTAACAAGCCTATTGGTCGTACCGCAAATTAGCAAACTTATCAAGCTTCCGCAACATAATATACCAGCACAAAGTACCCTTCGCGCCAACTTCGTTTTCATGCTCGATGCCAACCGTGGCCTTAACCCTTCTTCACAGCTGTCCGTCTGCATAGCCGCATCCTTCTCCATAGTCGCGTCATTCTTTACAGCAGCATTCTTCTCCGTTGCATCCTTCCTCACAGCCGCATCCTTCCTCAAAACCGCAACATTCGTTACAGTCACGTCCTTCTCCACAGTCGAAATTGCAGCTTCATTCCTCGTTCCCGAGGCAAGGTCCTTCTCGGAGAATCCGGACCCACGCCTTCGTATTCGCCGTCCACGCCGTTGTCTAGATCGAGCTCCAGCTGGTAGTCATTGTCTCCGTCATCTTTTACAAAGCCACGGGCTGCAAAATCGTAGTCCAGAGGTTTGTGCTCACGCTTTGAAGCACGCATTTCTAGCAATAGCGCCATGCACCCACCAACAGATTAGAATGTCTATACATAGCTCACTGATTGTACATTCGGTTTGCAGGTCTTGCGTCCTGCACCCTCTTTCACCTTTGAGAGTGTCTCCTCCACATTTTCCTTGGCAGGCGTCGTCTTCTTGGCACTCCCGGGGCAGGGCCCCACTTAGAAATTCATTTTAAAAAGATATTAGAAATTTAAAATGGCGATCCGCTAAAAAACTTAATTTTATTTAATGGTAGTAGTGCTTTTTGATATCGGCTACGAGTCCTTCGAAGTACTTGGAGGGATCAAGAGTACCATCAGGTACCAGGACCGCCACAAGTATTCATCCAAGTAGGAGGCGAGAAGATTCTTGTCGATGCCCCGCATCTTCTTCAGTTTGTGCTTTACTCGGACCTCCCACGTCCCCTTGATCCGGCTGGTGCAGGCGCCGGTCGCGGAGTCTACGATATGTTTGGAATAGCTGACCCACTTGTGTTTGAAGCGCGTGCCTTTCAGCCAACGCTTATTCTCCAGTGTGTGTTTTAAATTTGTAAAGACGTAGCTAGAAAACTGGTCCGACATAGTGGTGATTTCAGCATTGATATGTTTCTTAATCACAGAGCTGATCATCTTTTAGGTACGATCATCGTACGTTAAGACGCCGAACCAGCGACCGTACGTACGGTCGACCCCACGAAAGAGCCAGCAGTCATCGTGGTGTACACCATGATGTTACTTGCTCTTCTTAGCACTTGTCTCGCCAATCTCAACGATATGACCGGGACCGCCGACCTAAACATTATTTACGAAGTATTATAAAATATTGTTTCGTACCTAGATCCACCATTTATAGATTTACCTGCATAGGACAAGCCACCATCTCCTTGCTGCATATATCTCTGCAGAACGAGTACCAATCCGTAACGACCTTGTCGCTGACGCCGATCCAAGCCGAGGCGACAACAGCGGGAAGGCCCGACGGCCAAAAGTCCAGGCTGGCACAGCGTCAGCCTCACCTTCGCGAGAAGGAGCCAGCCCCCAAGCTGCGTTTCTTTTGACACCCTTTTTGGGATCACCGCCACCTCCAGCGCTTCGCGCGCTTCTGCACGGCTCCAGCAGCGGGCGGACAGAGACGCATATCTCCGTTGCACTCGGAGCACAGCATTCGCCTCACCAACAGTCCTTTTACTTGGTAGTACACGACGCAGCTGCATTCGTCTGCAGTGGCCATCATCACGTCGTCAAAGCTGAAGGTCACACGGGTAAGCACGTACGCGTACGGTGCAGGGTCCGGGTGCGCCGGACTGGGTTTGCTTAAAGGGAGGAGAACCCGTGTTGGGCATGAAGTTGAGCTGAGTGCTGGTCATGATGCAAGTACGGGTCTTGGGGCGGGGAACTGGGGTGGCTGGGACCTGAGGTGGGGCTTTGAACGTACACTATAAGATGACTGACTGTTTGCTGCTGGCAAGGCCTCAAGTGCGCAAAAGGTGGGGTCTGCTCAGGTTTGGACACAGCTTTGGCGCGAAGCATGGAGTGAGTGGTTGAAGCTATCGATGGTTGCGGATCGCCATTTTTTCTAAATATTGTCTAAACCTAATTTCAATGTGGGGCTTGTCCCCTGGGAGTGCCGTCTTCTTGGTCTCCTCCTTCGTCGGGTCCACCTCTTTTATGCCTAAAGGCGGCATCTATGGCGCACTTGTGCGCGCCCTCTTTCTCGTCCTTCGTGCTCATTTGCAATAAACAACTTGAGGGGCGGGTAGTCATGATCTAGGCATCTTGCCTTTTTCTGAGGTCGTACAGGTGGCGTTCGAGCTGGTAGGTTTCGTAGCATAAGCTGTAGGTCTAGGGAGGCCACGAAATGTAGACATGCCAGAGCGTGAGCGCAGATCCAGCCTGCTTTGTGAGCTGCTTACAGTCGTACTTAAACTTACGGCGAATCATTTTGATCTCGTCGGTGCTCCAGGAAGGATTGTCTTAGCCGTGCTCGAACGGAATTCGCTTAAAGATTTCCACGACGTAAAACGACAAATAGGGCAGCTGGATATTCTCCACCTTCTCGTTTGCTTGAGCTTACCTCTGAGCGAGGCTTTGTAGACTTTGGCTCGATTGCCGTTCAGCTTTAGGCCACGGAGGTTGGCATCGCGTACGATGTAGTGCTCGGCGTTGAAAAAATATTATTGGATGCTGTTAGCCGCCCGTCTGGTCTTTCGTCTGTGAGTAGGGTAGTGGCTGCCTTCTTCGCATAGATTCACAGCCGTCTGCAAATCTTGTGCGCTCACTGGGCCTGACGCATAATTCCTGATAGGCTCAGAGCCGATATCTATAGCACATTCGACCAAGATTTTAGGCAAAATTGCAGCCAGAACGTGCCCTGTCGCTGCTCATAGATGACTTACTGCTGTGGCCTTGATTGTTCGATTATGGGATTCAATCGGATTTAGGTTTGGCAGCACTCCAGCAGTGTCACTTGCAATACAGAACCACAGATCCCAGGGATCTGTCAGGCATTCTCATTATAGCCACTGTGTAACGGACCCCAACGGTACCGAACGAAACTAGTGTCCATCCGCCAAAATCGATCTTATAAGTACCATCCGTCTTGTCAAGCTCTTCCATGGATCTGTCAATCAAACGTTGGCCTAGTACTTGCCTAGGAACAGTCCTGAACAATCATCTGGACGTGAAGATAATCCCGACAGAAACATCTCTTTCTCTAGAGGATCTGTAAGGAAATCCAGTACAAGTCGCTCGTGCTGGAAGTTGAATGACTGCTGACAAAACCGCAATACATCCGTGTTCAAATCATACTCGAAGTGCTAGTGAAATTGCTCGAGCGCTGTGCACATTTTCGAAGAGGCCCATTTCACACGACGATATATTTCGTGATTGAAAAATGCCCACGTCGTTTAAGTCTCTGTGACCGATTCTTCAGTAGCTTGACACTAGGAAGCATCGCAAGACGTTCTGGCGAATTCCTATATCGAACCAGTAGTGGCGTCAGACATTGCTTTGGACCTTGGCCACCCAACGGCAAGTTATCGACCTCCGGTAAAAAAGGTTTATGGATACCGATTCTTTGGTCTTCAAGAGCGGTAATTGTATTGGTATGAATACCAGTCGTGATTAAACGTACTTCCCGCACGAATTTTTCTGATGTTCCCCATTGCAGTACCGCTCACGTGCGAAGTGCATTCCAGTACGGTGATGAATGTGCCGCGGCAAAACGCATGTTCTAAATGTCATCCAGTAATGTTTGTGCCTCTTTCATCGACGATAAGCGGGCAGGATGCACCACGAAAGCGAAATCGCGCTCGTCTTTGTGCTGCAGATCCACAGTATCGCTTTGTCGATCGGATAAGGGGAGCTCTGTGTTTTCCACGTTGTCGCTTTCGTACTCGTAATCCTTGTCATTCTCTCCGTCGAGGTGCTCACTTTCATCTGGTGAAGACTTCTCGCGAAGGTCGAAAATACTATCAGAACTTTGTGAATTGCACCCTGTGCGATCTCTGCGGGCGTCCTCATCTCTTATTGGTGCAAGATCCCCCTCAGCAGCCTTCTCCTCACTGTCAGCACTTCTTTGTCGACGCCGCGCTCGCCATAGTTGGTGGTGTGTTATTTCTCCAGAGATGACATCACTATCGCTCGATAACGGGGTGATAGAGATCGAAGACGGTGGTCCTGAGGCACGACCGCTGTCATGGC